CATCATTTTGGCTCAGGTGAGGTTCCAAAGGACTTACTTCTCTGTGGAATAATTTGATGTGAGAACTTAATGGCCACTTCAGTACTTATTTTATCATGGTATTTCCACTGAATGCAATGGAGCTTGGCCTTCCACAGAAGTCTGTGCACCTAATTGTGCTGAAGAAAGAGGAATTCTTAATGATCGTGTGACAAATGCACTTCTAGAAACTAGATTCTACCTTTGTGTGTTTATACAATCACTACACTTTGTAAACGTTTGTTGGCTATTTGATGGCTAAGTGGATGAGTGTTTATAAACTTAGAAATATTTTTGAATATGAAGCGATTAGGAACATCTCTAGCTATCTTATTTATCTTAGTTGATTGTTATGACATTGAGTGGGTTATAGTTAATTTCTTACGTGTGGAAGCCTCAACTTTCTATGCTTTACTTGATGCGTTCTTTCAAATTCATTATTCTTGAATTTAAATACTATATTACAATTTCTGAGAATGTTTTGGCTGAGGGCAGGTATGTGATAAGTGGAAGCTTTGCAATGAATTAGAAAAACTTACCTAAGAGGGTTGTGTTTTGTTTCTTTCCAAGGTTTTGTTTAGTGCTGGGAGGAGGTCAGTCATTACCTTCATCATGTAACACCTGCATGTGTTTTCTCTCTTCAGCCTCTATGAGGAGAGGACTCGGTAGAGAACCATTGTATGAAAGAAAGGAACATTTGTTCATTTTCATTATCTGAAAGAGCCCTACACACGTTTCACGTGTTCCACAATATGTTTTTATATCCACCACTACTTCTACTGTAGAACACCATGTAGATAAAATATTTAATTTTTGGGGAACTTGCTGAAAACATGAGATCTATGACAATGCTAGCCTTCTGTATTGCTCTTTCTCAAGTTAAAAAATGACCTAGTTATTAAAATAAATATTTCAGAACTTTGAGATGTTTTCTCCTTCTTTTATGGCTTTTCCTGATTTTATCCTAGTACTGAAGTATTATTTTGCCCAAGAAAAAGAGCAGATAGAGCTGCTTTTAATTAAAAATGAATATACAGCTTAAAGCCCTAGGTCATTTCATTTGGGGGGAAGAAGGGAGGAGAGTCGCACATTTCAGTGTGCAATTAACACTGTGCTTCTGTATCACTAAGAAACAGGCAGAATTTCCAAAGAGCAATGAGACCAAGCTGTCCTTACAAAAAGGCACTGACTTACGCATGAGGGATTAACTGAAAAGAAACATTATCATCATAGTTTGGGGGTTTGTTGTTTTGTTTGTTTTTTGTTTTTTTTTTTTTACTGAAGATGATAATTTTAATAAGTTTTACACCATATAAGTTTTGAAAATAGGTTTTAAGTACCTAAGTTCATACTTATATATATATTTCCAAATACTGAAATCCACATCCCTAAACTAATAGGCAGATCGTTATAATAAAAATTATGCAAACACTATAATCACTGTCAGAACTGCAGTGTGTATTTCCCATGGTTATAGACATTGTGATGCTTCTTGTGCAGTACAAAAGCATGTTTGGATTTTCAGACCTAAAAATAGTATACATTAAGTGAGGCTTTTCTTAAGAAATCTGCCTCAAGTTACTTAAAGATTGTCAAAAATGTGTTCATTCTAGTTGTTCGGATGGGATAGGTGGCATTATCAGTGTAATTCTTAACATATTGCTAAAATGATGGAACACTGAAAAAATCTCATTATGGTTTCTGTTGAGCCTGCAGTTATAAATCAACAAAGCAACTTAATTTGGGCATGAGTGTGAGATGACAGTGCTTTTTAAAATCTAAAAGTTTATTGAGATTTGTGGGAGTGTGATTTTACTAGTTCCTAACATTTTTCTTTGATAGTGGATGTGTGGTGTAAATAAACTATAGTGATGTACAGTGAAAAATACTGATGTGCATTCTTAAAGTGTAACCAAATTGTGTTTTGAATCCAGGAAACTAATAATTATCTCTATAAGGTCCCATTTTGCTCATGTTTATGCATGTTTCTATCTCTGTGAGAACAAGCAGTCTCACTGAAATGCTGAGGCTCCTGAACTGAGTATAGTAACTTATTTGCAAGATTGATGCGTGCCTCGAAATGGTGCAAGCATATTTTGGATACTCTAAAGTAGGCTTATGATGTTTATGTTCTGTGTACCAGTAACACTATGTAACAGAGCAATCTGCTGTTCCCATTTTGATGCTGTGTGTTAGAAATCACTCCTGGGTAGTCCGAGAAAAACTACAGATTTTTGTTGTAGAAAACTGCGTTTGCTGTATGTGGTTATATTGTTGTAGCTATTTAACTTACAGGATGTTCTTCCTTCAGAGGTAGGGATTCAGTTTTCTTTGGATGTTTCTTTTCTTTGGCGTACAGTGGCCTGGATTTTTTCTTAAAAAATGATTGCTGTTAAGTAGAAGGCCCATGCAAAAGGTTTTACTTCCTTAATCCAACATAAGCTTTATTTTGTCACCAGATCAAATGGCTTTCAGAATTGAAAGTTAAGGTTTTTCTAGGATGACAAGGAAATTTAAACATGTAGTTTCCATGATAGGCAATATAGGAAAATTCAGTCCAGTATTATTTGGGCACTAATGTCTAACCTTCATCATGTTATTTAACCAGAATCTGTCTCAGCTGCAGCTCAAGGTAAAGGCTGGTAACATTGTATGCTCCTGTGAATGGAGGCTAGAGCTAAAATGAGGCCATTCCAGACATTGTGGCCCAGAGCACAACATTCAATACCTGATCCTCAGCTGGTAGTGTGCAACATTAAAAGCTTCGGTTTTGTCCTATTGTCAACATCACTGAGTATGTTCTCTTGCTTAAGAAATTAATTTTGTTTAAGTGAATTCTTTTTTAGTTGGGAGTGTAGGTGTCTTCCAACACTGATTTGTCCTTCTACCTCCCACATCAGTACTATAGTAAGGTAGTTTGTTTATTTTTTTTAACCTATCCAAAATCCATAGATATATCTGTCCTGGAAGTTAAACTATATTCTAACCCCACGCTTATATCATCTTTCCCGTAGTTATTTTCACTTGTTTGGTGGTTTTGCCAGTGTGGTTTTGGAAAGCAATAGGATGCTCAACTTTTTTTCCATTTAGTTGTTACTCCAATGTTACGCACCTTTTGTTTGCGTTAGACTTTGGCATCTGATCAATGCAAAGATGACATTTAATATTTTATTATTTGTAGTGGCTTTCAAAAATCTTAGTTTCTGGGTTTTCCCATCTGGCGCTTTGATTTATGTAATTAATTTTGTATGGCTTTTAACTTTGGGGCGATATGGATTTATGTGTCTAGTCTTTGTATCTGTGTCATTTTCTAGTGCAAGGATTCCTTTCATGTTGTTCCAAAGTGGTCCATTCTGTTTGTTTATTTCTGTATTTTATATCTGTAATGCACTCTGATATTGGAAGAATACTCTCTAACTCACCAGTATACTAACCATTTGGTGTTTCTGAAGGATCATGTCAACATTAAAAACCACTCTTCATAACATTCCCATCCATAACTAAAATCATATTTCCATCCCAATAATAGTAAAGCAGTGGGCCACACAGCAAACTGACATTAGAGATTGCATGCTGAAGGTAGGAGAATGAGAGATTGTTCCCAGCCTTGCGTTTTGGTCCGGTAAGAAAACAAGGAGTAAAAGAGCTTGGAAGGTTGAGTACTTAGTAATTAAAGTATTAGTAAACAACATGCCTGGATTTCAAAAAAGAATGAAAATGAATGTGTATACTTGCACAAACACACCTTTAAAACAACTTTCCTTTTTAGCAATGCTTTTGTAGCTCTTCTGTTCACTTTCTTCTTTTAATCTCCTTCATCCTTTTTCATACAATATATGAAGGCTTTTTGGTGATAATAGCTGCCAGCCTTCCATTTCCAAACCCCACAGCTGCACTGTCAGTATCTTCAGCAAATTAGATCCCTCTTGAAACTGGATGTAATGTTTTTTTAAATCCCTGAATTTTGCTCTTTTCAAAAACAGAATGTGGATTTTTGTTGTTGTTCTTATTTTAGTAACCTTAAGATCTCTAAATTTATTTTGGAAATAATTAATCTTATTTTCTTTGAACTATGTAGTGCATTTGGACATTTTATTCTGAATATCGTATGAGTGCTAGTATTTTCAAAGTAACGAGAGATGCATTGGATCCATAGGTTCTTTTCCCACAAGCTGATTGTAGATGATCTTCCTTGAACTACTAAATAGTAATGATGAACAGTAAATAGTGATCAGATTCTTTTTCTTGATGCCCATTATTGGAGAGGGACAAGGTCTTACATACTCTTTTGCAAAGAGAGACAGCACAAAGCCCGTGCCTTTCTAAAATCCTACAGAAGCTCTTAAGTTAGATCTTGGATGTTGTATAGACCCGTGATGGCCATCAGCTTGCAAATGGATTTTGTTTTATGTGTTTTAAAACTGCAAGGATGTTGTTTGTAACTGCATTTCTTTTTTTTTTTTTCCTTTGGGCATCTCCTTCCTTTACCTTAGTTTTGTTATTATATGGCCTTGGTACTTCCCAAGTGACAGGTGCAAACGATGAGCCTCCGTGCATTTCCCTTCCTCTGTCACTCTAATCAGCTCAAGCAGAGGTTTGACTTTCTTCTGTGAAAAAGTTACGACAGACTGGAGGTCAGCTAACACACGCTACCTAATCCTGACCCAGCCTCAATTTCTCATTCTAAATTGGACAAAAACCAGGGGACCAAATTATTCAGTCTTACTTGAGCCAAAATCCCAACGAGGCCAACTAAGCCTTGAAAAAGTGTGGGAGGTTGCAGCACTTTGCTCCTGAGTTGCATCTGTTGTATAAAGGTGATTCACTAATTAGGAGAAAAGAAATCCAAAGCACAGTTGTTTATTTACCCAAGCCTTGGTGCAGGCTCTGTGGTCCTCATATTCTGCTGTTTCTGTCAAGCCTATGGGCTTGTTTTACTGAAATTGTGTTATTTTTTGTTCTCCTTTCTTTTCCCCCCCTAGACTGGCAGATAGCTACTCTTGCTTTGCTGTTGGGTGGTGCTGCCATCATTCTCATAGCTTTCCTGGTGGGGTTGATCTCTATCTGCGTGGGATCTCGGAGGCGGTTCTACAGACCAGTTGCAGTCATGCTCTTTGCTGCAGGTAAGCAGATTACCAGCACCATTATGAAAATTTCATGAGAGCAGCTTCACTTCTGTCAAGGAAGACATGCCTTGTTCTGCATACTAATTCAGAGGCATTTGGTTTACTTCAGTGTTAACTCCAGTGAGGTTTTTCAGGATACTGGTTCTGCACGGCATTAATAATTTTTGCAGTTGCACTATTATTGGTTCATAAACAATTATTTATTTGCATTATATTTATTGTTTTGAGAAGTACATGCAGCAGGGGAAACTACAGACGGTAAATCTCAAAGTACCATTTTTAGTCTGTGACTTTGTGTTGCTTGATTTCCCCATTTTTATTCTTCATGCAAAGCCATTTCTGTTATTTTAATGTTCTTCCTTTTACATTTTTAAACCAGGAAAATTAATGCTCAAATGTGAACCCTTGAAGCCCTACGTGTGAACATAAATAAGATTATGTTGCAAGGTGTTTATATATGCCCCTGTGCCACGAGGAATTAATTTCATTGTGTCAGCTTGCTTACTTAGTTATTCATTTAACAAGCTGTCACAGTGTAGTCCCTGTTTAGTTTTAAAAACATGAAAATGGAACAGTTTATATAGACTATCACAAAATCTTAAGGGAGACCTGTGAATCTGAATTGTCCGTAAGACTGGTCCAGTGAGGTATAATTACAATATCAAATCATCTCCTTTTGTACATTCTGGTGTTTTGGGGCTTGGTCAGCACAGCCGTTTCTGTTTCTCCTGAGATTCATCACGCATGGTTTGCCTTCATCCTGTCACTCATATCTGCATTGGAGCCAGCAGCTTAAGCCCCTTCTGATAGCCCGTAATGAAGAGGATGACAGAACCTAGTCTTCGGGATGTATTAAAAAAAGCCACTTACAAGGATACGAAAAGATAAGAGTGCAGAATTTGCAGGGTATTCAGGAATGAAACAAAGCTCCGGGGAAGGCTCCTGCTGCCCCCTGCTGTTAACGATGCCTTGATTGAGCCGGAGAGCTTCAAGATGAGCTTTTATTTGCTCAAGACATATTGGTAGGTTATATTTCATTTGCTTTTAGGAAATGAATGCAACCTAAGATCAGATTTCCTGAGCGGAAATTGTATCTTTTTGTTCTGTGTGTCGCATTGCTTGCTTGGTTGAATCAATAAAGGCACTGGTGCCATTATTTTAAAATTTAGTATTAATTCTGAGATTATAAAGTATGCTGGGCAATTAACTTTGGAAATGGGATTATTGAATTTCTGTAGTGGTTTTGTATTTGGATTTTGACTTAATTTCTCATAACATTGTGTAGTAACCTAGTAATTGTTCAGCCATACACTGCCTATCTTGCCATATTGCTCATTTAGTATATAGTTAAGTTTGTACTACAAAAGAAAAAAAAAAAAAAAACAAAGCAAAAAAATTCCCCAAATCCTGCTGTTTGGCTTAAAGCATAATCTGTTTTCCTCTGCGTAAAATTAGTTCGAGTCTTTACTGCAAATGTTGGGAGGGAAGGGAGGTTTAATGCTTACATGTGTCAAAAAAGGAAAATACAGTGGTGTTTTAGCTCATGAGTGGTGTTCATCTCTTTCCTTTGCCTCTGTATGTGTATTCACATGCATGTTAAATAGCCCTGACCTGAAGCACATAAGAAGAAGAGGGATGATGAGGCTGAGACAGCCTGCCCCATTCTTCCTTATTATCTGGTACATCTGAGGAGAATCCTTTTGGGATTTGATGCTGACATTGTTAGTGTCATTTCCTACAGATATTATCTTTGATGTCAGCTATTTTTAGAGGTGAATATGAACTGGCATATCTTGAAAGACCTATGGAAAGAGGAGAAAGTTAAGATTCCTACTGAAGAGGAGAAAGTTAAGATTGCAGCACAGTGGAGTTTGTGCCTTATGCAACTGCCCATGGATTCAAACCTTCATCTGTGGACTTCACAGAAGATCTTTGAGGATAAACCCCGCCCCGACCTGTGAATCCAGTTAGGAGTCCTACCAATTGCCTCTGGAAGAAGGACACAGGATGAATTGCCCAGAGACATTTAATGATCTGTGTGGGTGTCAGGTAGAAAACGTCACTGTGTGGGAGAAAGAACAAACTGGAAAAGTGGTTTCCAGGCACTTTAGAGTCCAAACAGTTGGCTCTAGGCATTTTTTTCCTTCTAGTTTTGATTTATTTTTATTTATTTATTCTTTTTTTCTCAGCTTCAGGTTTCAGTTAGCAGCTCTGTAGGTGAGGAAGAAGATTGACTGACTAGGACTGGAAGAGGTGAGAAAGCAAAGGGACAAAAAAAATAATTCAACCTAGATACTGAGAATAAGTCAGCAAGCGATCAACAGATGTGAATGTATTTAAAATACATACTGCCAGCTCTGTGTAATGGGGAGAGGAACAGGAATGACCTAGGTAATGGAAAAATGTGGAGCATACAGAGAGGCAATTGCAGAACACTCTTGCGTGGAGCCACCTTGGCTCATAGAGCTCTTCCCAGCATTTTTGGTCTGGTAGGCATCACTTGCTGGGGTGTCTTAGTGCTCATGAACCAAACTGGCCCTGAAAGCTGCATCCTCAAAGCACAAGCTCACAAACTTGTCAGTGTAGGAGTCTCATGATATGGTTACCAGATCACTGAGTGCTAAGCAAGTCTTGATTTAGGGGGAGAAGGAGAAAGTGTAATTGTTGAAAGTCCGTAACAGCAAAGAAAAAAGGTAATTTAAAAGATGTTTGCCTTCTGGGCATATGTTTTAACAATGTTCAGAAGAATAACCTGTTGAGATTAGTAAGCTTTTAACATATTTCACAGGATGCTTTTACATGTAAGCTAGGGAAACAGTGGCTAAGTGAAAGTAGTATAGGTGAGAGAGTAAAAAAAATTATGGTAGATAAGATTTGGAGAATACTTAGAGGATGTATCTTTCCATTCTTACAGAGAGTCAGAGCACAGTCTGGCTGGATCCTGATGTCCATCCTGAATCTCTGAAACTGAGATTTGTGTCCATTGCCATTATCTTAGGTTGCCTGGTATGACAAAGAAGAGGTGGATCTTTTTTTTTTTTTTCTATCATCATTGCAGCTACGTTTTCAGGTAACTGTAGGCTGGTTTGAAATTGCTCCTTAGCTGCCTCTTCATGAGTCTAAATAAACCTAGCTCCCTCATCCTCCTCTTAAGGATGATTTGTTCCAGGAGTCTGATAATCTTGTCCTTAGTTGGTGAATCCGTGTTCACTACTGATTGCCGCTTTGTGCTGCATGCGCTTGGAGGTGGACTCCAAGAGTATGTACTCGATAATATTTCCAGGGATTGAGTTGAGGCTGACCAGCCTATAATTCTGTGGATTTTTCGCTTCCAGCCTTTTTAAAGATGGACATAACATTAACCTTTTTCCAGTCATCTGAATATCTCCTGATCACTGTGATTTTTCATAGATGATAGAGGGCTCACGATCACATTGGCCAACTCTTTCATCAATCCCATCTGTCCCCATAGATATGGATGCAACTCTGAAGTCATCCCTGACTTGTTCCTGCACTGCTGACACCCTCCCAGACCATGTCACTTAGAGGTTTTGGAGAAAGCATCACAGTGTGTCATCTGTCACTAGTCTGGCTTTCCTCTCCATCATTGTATAAGTATGTTTTCTGAACTTTATTTTGCAACTAATGCACCTGTGGAAATTCTGCTTTATTACGCTTTTTGTCATTTCCTAGCTTTATGTTGGGCTCCAGCTGGGCTTCAGACTTCCTGATTTTGTATCTAAGTATCGAAACAGTGCTTTTATACTCCCTTCTAATTGTCTGTCCTTGTTTCCTGCTCTTGTGTGCCCCTTTCTTGCACATTCATTGAGGAGCTCCCTGTTTGGCCAGCTGAGC